GATTTTTTCTTTAATCACTTCTGATGCCTAATATTAACAATAATCTATCTGTAATAACAGTATCTGTAATAACATAATAACAATAATAATAATAATTACAATAATCACAACATCAGCAACAACACAACAACCATAACAACGGGAACGGCAGCAGCAGCAACAACAACAACAAAAACAACAACGACAACAGCAACAACAATCACTGCAACAGCAACAATAACATTTCGTATGAACACTTGTATATACATCTACTATTAACCTCTTAATAATTCTGTAAAATACCCCGATATTTATTGACAATTATCTGCTTCTTATCCTTCATTTCTTTCTCTTCATTTGTTTCCTTCTCCTCTGTTTACTGTCAACACCTCTCGCTCCCATATACAAGCATATGCAGTAGCCGAATTCAAGGAAATAATGGTAAATTGGCTTAAAAATCTTCAACAGAACAAACAACCTTCCCGCCTTCATAAATCATCGAATGCAAGTGAATAACGCTAGGCATCCTTTCTTCTGTTCTTCAGTGTCCGTTGCACTAACAATATTAGTAAACTTAGGAGTCACTAAAAACAAACACCTAGAATCTTTTTACCCATCGTCTTCCTCGTCTCCCCCGTCCCCTCCTTCCCTACCGCTTACGTGTCCTACTTTTTCAGCTGACACTCTTACCGATGTTACTCTTCATAATACCTCGAAGTTCAGCCAAATACCAACTAAAACAACTGTTAATAACTGCTATCCAAACAGTACTTAGAAGACCTTCTAATTAACTTTGATCAATTTGCTAAGGAATCCAAATGACAACACTTGCCACTGAGTTCCAAACTTCATATTGGTAGAGTGACTTTTAGTAGTTTACTGTGGTTCAGCTTTAGAAATTTCGCATTTACTCAAGAACTGTTTAGTTTAATAGCACTTTTATTGATTAACTGCACATTAACCATTTTTTGATTCGCATGCAAGGTTTATTCTAAGATGAAATGAACTACTGAACCGCGCAGAAATTATAAAGTAGGAAAAAATTAAAACTGGTTATGACCTTGAGCTATAACAAGATGCAGTAGGAAAACAACACAAAACAAAGACCATCCATTGGAATTAAAACAAAAAACTAAAAGTAGAAGTAAAAACCACTGCCAGAAATGAAACAATACAACGACACTTGAGGCAAAGGAATTAATAATTTGGAAGCATGGATGAATACAAAATAATTTCTGCAGCCACACATACAAGTCCAAGGAATCAAAAAACAATCAAGCAATGCAAGTTCATATCACAAACTTCTGTAATATGAAAAAAAACATGAAACTAATACCTATAGCTAAACTGTAAAGAGAAAATCGTGATGTTTTTATCTTTTTTAATAAACCTCAACACGTGAATCACAAGAGAGCAAAGTTGAAAAACTTTTTTTAAATGAGATCAAGTTTGTAACAAAAGTAAGCAATACCTAATACTCGTAAAACAGTAAAGCAATTTACCTGAATAATTAAAAAAATAACCCGTCTATATCTGAAACTCGAAACAATTTATATAACGGCTAGGTTAACACGACTAATTTGGAGACTAGTGTAAAACTAGTTCACATGAAGAAATCAAATAGAAAAGTAAAAGTTATGAACAAATGTAAACTTTAGACGAAAATTTACAACCGATATTTGGAAAACAATAAGTAAATATTCATTATTCAAATCACTAATCATGTATATAAAAAATACCTTTGGTTCTACAATCAATTAGAATTAGCACTATAAAAAGCTTCACAGAAGGCAAAATTACTGGAGCAACTGATGCAGTAACTACAGTTTCCACTGTAAATCCCACTAGTTCATTATGCTATTCTCATTTTACAGTCAAGAAATACGACTGTTAAAATGCAAAACAGATTGCAACTACCAAAAGCAGTTGCCTACGAAGAAATACATAGCAAAAAAAACATTTGAAAAAGAATGTAAAAACTTGTCCTATATTTAAATAGTACCACAACTTAAAGTTAAGCAAACGTAATTTAACAACAGTGCAACACCGAAGAAACTGATAGACGCATTTTGCGCAAATGAAACTAAAAAAGAGTAGAAACTTCTCATCTTCTAAATAGCCAATCTACCACAACCGGAAAGTACGAAAAACGGAACCCCATAATTAGCAAATCACAAAACTGCTTCGCGTGTATGGCAAAAGCAGTTCTTACTTACTGACGAATTCAGACGATGAGCCTGAAAGAATAAAACAGCAAAATATCTTTCTTTGTAACTAAAGAAAAAGATCAAAACTAGTTATCTTTTAAAGAACAACAAGTAATTTATTTACTCACTCTTCAGTTCGATAACATTAGACCACTGTTACTCTGCTTCCACATCTCACATGGTTTGCTGCGGAGTCTGGCTAATAAACTTAGGTACCTTTCATTCGACATCTAAAAAGCTGAAGCGTAACTGAAGAAATAAACTGCAGTACTTGGAACATGAAAAGCAGAAAAAAAAAACAATGTGCAAAGTAAATTAAAAGACAACTACTGTGAATAATTAAAAGCTTGGTGGCTGTAAATTAGGTCCTAATCGCGTTGAATATAATTCATAATTTTCTCCCAATGCAGAAAAATCAAAGCTACTACAAAAACAGTTCCATTTTGTGTTTAAGCGCACAACGCCACACTGCTACAACTAAAGTAGGTTTGACATAACTTCAAGAACACCAAAAATTTCACTTGCCTTTAAGCTGAGAGGAGGCAATAAATCGTCCCTCATTAACCTAAAGCAAGCAGAGTCTTACACTAAATAAAACTCTAAGTTCCTCAGAAAAGTAGAACAAAGCCAAAGTGATATAAACAAATTGAAAGATAAAATACAAAAGTCAAAATGACCAATTAAAGAAAATAAACACAGAAAAATCAATGTTGTCAATATCCGGTGCGCAAAACTAGAATCCAAAAGTTAAGGACAATTTGGGTACTCTACTGCAAAGATTCTTTAGAGATTAAACTGTTAAATTTAAAGAAATTAAATTGCTCCACCGTGTAAGAGACATCTTTTGCTTAACAGAATCACTACAGATTTCATGACCATTTGCGAGACCTAAGTGCTCAGGTTTGACGTAGTTACGCTGTTTCTCCATTAAATTGCCAGAATTCATTGAAAGCGGAGACCTGAAAAATCACTAATAAGAAATACCTCCACAATAACTGGTTTTCTCTCGCAAACAATTAACTGATGAAGTAGAAACAGTAATATTCTAGTCAACTAACATATCGTCTAAACCGTGAGAGCTACCACGATAGCGACTGTTGCACATATGATGGGAACGATGAAGAGTCTTCTGTTTGCACTTGGCTTTATCTAGACTACTGCTCGATTCTACAGCCGTGTTTTCAACAGTGCCAAAATCGTGACAGGGGGCTCCGGTATCAGTTTTATCTTTATTTTCCTCTACGTTCTTGTACTTCATATGTTTAACGCCATCTGGGAGTCTTTCATGTTCAACAAAGTAGAAATTGTTGGAACGCTAAAAAAATGAAACCATTGTTAGTTAGACAAGCAGAATAAATACACCGTTAATTTAAAACAACCAAAACCATTTGAAAAGCAGCTTCAAACCAATCAACAAAACTCTCGAGTCTAACCAGTCAGAAGTAAGAAAAGCAAACAGTTTATGCAGCCTACTCCATTTAGTTCCACCCTCAGCTTGTCATCACCAAGACATTAAACTCACATTGCCCTTGAAATTTTCTTGCTCCTTCCGCCAAATACTAAGTCCTGTTGCCTTTCCTAACCCCTCCACAGTGAGCAAAAACATAACTTTTAAAAAGAACCCCGTCTTTGACAGAAATAACGGAAGGCGCTCTTCCAGCAGCCAAAATAGCTACTTATACTTCCAAGATGCTCAACTCACAAGGCGACTGTCATTCACTGTCTTAAAAATCTGTGCAGTGAAGTTCAGCAAACAGATAAACGTAAGGGTAGGACTGGCAAGATAAAAACGGTATGCATGATGAGACCAGTGAAGAATCGAACCAATGTCGGTGTAGGAGGTAAGACAAAAAAATTTGAAGACTCATAATGAACAATGATGATCCAGCTGAAAGCACTGAACAAGGTAAAAATTTAAGCTAGTTTTTTCTACCTGAGCTCCTTCAAACGCTAATAGAATCTCATTGTAATCTGCTTCCATCTTTTTGATGTAAACAAACAAGTTTTTGGGACAGATGAGGACCTAGGTTGAAAACCAAAAAGTTGTATACAAAAAGCTGAAGAGATGAACCATATTACAGGACAATACGGAGGAAAATGTAATTTTCTACAAACCTAAGACGAAAATGAAAAGAAGAACTCGCCTGTAAAGGAATCCGCTTTCCTTCGTCTGGTTTCCGCTTTCTTCGCTGATAGAGAATAGTCTAAAGATAACTGCCATCAAAATACTACCTATCTGGTACATTATTAAAGTTCCTTTAAAAACCTAAACGAACCGGTGAGTCCAAACTGTTGGTTGGTAGAACATCTGCAGACGAAGAGTAAGGCCGCAAATGATCAGTTGATGCTCTCCAGTCATTTGGCATCCCCCATGATACAGACGGAAAAATAAAACTCACAGATGATGGGACTTGCAAGCGCGATTTTTCACGAGTCCCACTAAAAAAGTTCTCGGCGTCTTCATTGAGATTTTTCACATACTTCAGCGCTTCCTCCACCTTCAAAGCAAT